GAGAGGAGACTGATGGGGCGGTAATTGGCCGGGTTGGATTTGTCCTGCTTTTTGTGTACAGGACATTCCTGGGAAATTTTCCATATTATTGGGGATTGTCAGTATTTTAGAATTGATGATAATTTCATGGACACTGTTATTAGGACGAACTTATAATTTCATCTTTTACCAATTGACTTTAAATTTCACAATTAGCGGTGGTGTGGTTTGAACCTGTGCATTAGATGCAGAGTATGAGCCGTGTTCTGGGTTACTAGCCTAATGACATTCCCAGCACGGGCCCATCGCTCCCTCAGGTTAGGGTCTGTTGGGTGTGGAATGCACTCTTTGAGAGAACATGGTGAAAGCAGGTTCAATTTTATCTGAAGAGGAATAATGAGCAGTGGTAGGGTCCAAATGGCAGTAAGTGGAAATCAGTAGCCTGCTCATTTGGAGAGGCAGTACAAGCATGATGGGCTCAATGGCCTCTTTCTCTGCTTGAACAGTTCCGTGATTCTTTATTGTGGACCTTTAATAGAATGTGTTTGAGGTGGTTTTGGGTGGTCTGCAAGTTCTCTGGATTCTGGAGATGTGCGTCAGGAATGACAAACCCAAAACTTGCTCTACCTGCAGACATGTGTCTCATCTCCTTAGGGAACTTGCGGCAGATGCTGTTGTAGTTGGTACAGATGTGATGGAGACACCAATCAGCAAGCTGTCGAGCACTGTGCAACTAAAAGAAAAGAATGTCAATGAAAAGCTTGAATAATGAAGCTAAGACAGAAGAGTCATCCCATGCTCGAAATGTTAGCTCTGTTTCTCTCTCCACAGGCATTGCCTGACCAGCTGAGTTTCTCCAGCATTCTCTGTTTTTATATCAAATCTCCAGCATCCATAGAAATTAGCTTCAATTATACCAGCTATCAGAATCTCGATAGACAGTATACGAATGTGAATATCACTGCCCTATGGCCTTGACGTGATGTCCTGAGTCCAGCATTCTGACATTATCCCTCAATTAAGCAGCATTCAATCAAAATTACAACACTCTGAGTTTAATTAATAGCTGGAGATGTGGAACTTTATTGTAAAGTACAGGTGGACAGTGCCACATGAATGCAGGAGCAAAATACTGCTGACACAATCTTACAATAAAAACAGAAAATGCTGGGGAACTTCAGCAGATCAGACAGCATCTGTGGAGAGAGGAACAAAGACAACATTTCAGGTCAATGACCTTTTGTCAGAAATGGGAAATGTTAGAAATGCAACAGAATTTAAGCAAGTTGGAAATGGAAGGTTTGTGATTTAATAGAAGAAAGGACAGTAACGAAAGCAGAAGAGGAGTGGGGCCAAAGGCAATTGGACTGGGATAAGGGAAAAAAAACAATACAAACAAATTAACACAGATGATGGAATGCGCATTGAAAACAACAAATGCTGGAAATCACAGCAGGTCAGATAGCATCCATGGAGAGAGAGAGAGCAAGGTAACATTTCGCGACTTTGTGACTCTTCATCTGTGCTCTGATTAGGAGTGATCTAGACTCGAAACATTACCCTGCACTCTCTCCATGGATACTGTCTGACCCACTGTGATCTCCAGCATTTGTTGTTTTCAATAAAGAAATGACAGTTTGGTCTACAGGATGTGGCAGAATAAATTACAAAAATGAAAACTAAAAGCAACAGAATTAAAGAGATAACATTGAAACCATTGAAAGGGGGAGAAGGAATCAAAGTGGAGGTAGAGATTATAGTCTAAAATAGTTACATTTGATATTGAGTAGATATAAAGATACAGTATGGATGACTCAGGTCAGCAAAGGGAGTCAGGATGACAAGTTCAATATACACTTTTTGGTTCAATTTTGCAGAGCAGCATGTCCAGGAGCCAACCAGAAAGCAGGCAATTCAACATTTAGTAATAAGGACATAGGAACATCAGAAATGGAAGCATTCAGTTTGAAGGAGAGAAGAGCGGGTCTAAGACTAGAGTTTTAAAGGAGAGCAATGATAAGGGTATGAATTCAGAGTTGGCTAAAGTGAGCTGAGAAATTTGTTGCAGGGATAAATCAGCAGAGATGTACTAGTATACATTTAAGGAGATACTTCAGAATACTCAGCAAAGGTACATTCCAGTGAGAAAGTAAAATTGAGGGGAAGAATGCAGCATCTGTTGCTAACTAGACAACATAAAGAGAGGAACACAACACACAATACTGCATGGCTGATCATCTTACTCAGTACCTTGTTTCTGCTTCCTCCCCATATTCTCTGAGTTGTTTAATCTGAAGAACATCCCACTTGAAAATCTTCAATGTTTTAGCCTCAGCACATTCCTATGGTAGTGAATTCCACAGGTTCACCACTCCCTGGGTGAAAACATTTCTTCTCATGTCGGTCCCAAATGGTCCACCACTTATCCTTAGATAGCGACCCCTGATTCTGGACTCCCAGGTCATCCATAAGGCCATAAGATACAGTAGCAGAATTAGGCCATTCGACCCATCCAGTCTTCCACCATTTGATCATGGCTTATATGGTTCACAACCCCATTCTCCTGCCTTCTCCCAGTAACCCCTGATCCCCTTACCAATCAAGAACCTACCCATCTCAGTCTGAAATACACTCAATGACTCAGCCTCCACAGCCCTCTGTAGCAGTGATTTCCACAGATTCACCCACCTCTGGCTGAAAAAATTCCTCCCCATCTCAGTTCTAATGGGTCGTCCGTTCACTCTGGGACTGTGCCCTCGGGTCCTAGTCTCTCCTACTAGCGGAAACATCTTCTCCACATCAGCTCTATCCAGGCCTCTCAGTATTCTGTCAGTTTCAACCAGAAACCGCCCCCGCCGCCCATCCTTCTAAACTCGATTGAGTTCAGACCCAGTGTCCTCAACCACTTCTCGTATGACAAACCTCCTCTGAACCCCCTCAAATGCCAGCATATCCTTCCTCAGATATGGAGCGCAAAACTGCTCACAATATTCCAAATGCAGTCTGACCAAAGCCTAATACAGCCTCAGCAGTGCATCTCTACTCTTGTAACCTAGACCTGTTGAAATTAATGCTAACAAAGAATTTGCCTTCCTAACTGCCAACTGAATCAGCATGTTAATCACTTTGTAATCCATCTGCCACTATTCTGCCCATCACTGGCGTGTCCAAGTCCTTCTGCAGCCTTTCTGCTTTGTCAATACTAACCGTCTCTCTCCTTATCTTTATGTCATTGAGAATATCCTTCCTGCATGTATCCTGGTCTCTCTGAAGTCCACCTTCATTCCTCTAAACTCTAGTGAATATAAAACATAGAACAGTGTAGCACATAGTCTTAATGAATTCAGTCTCACTTTGTATGTCAGTCCTGCCATCTCAGGACTTAGTCTGGTAAACCTTTGCTGCACTCCCTCTGTTAACGTGACCAAAACTGCACGTAATATTCCAGGTGTGATCTCATCAAACCCTGTATATTTCAATAGAATATTCCCGTTCCTGTACTCGAACACAGGCTCAAACTACACACAGTTGAATGCAGGGTTCAACTCCGCCCAGTTAAACAGAGGCTCACACTACACAAATAAAAACCAAAAGTTTGCTCAAACTACACAACGTCAATGTCCCCCAACTCTTATTCAATCTACAGGGGAACGGACTCCCATTCTCCCTCCAGCAACCCTTCCTGGGGAATGGAAACAGGAAGTTTCCCAGCCACTAAGGAACAGATTTAAATGCTTCAGGAACTGACGTAAATTCTTCCCCAGCCCAAATGTCCTAAAGATCAGCATTTGTGTGTCTGCATTGTCCAACATACCTGAGCCTTCTCGAGGTATTGTAAGACTAAACCATCAATGTCAGTTCCCTGCTTGGATGCGTGCAGGAGTTCCTCCACAGCAGACTGCTCTAGAAGGTCAGAAGCAGAAACATCATTATGTAAGATCCCAGGGGAGATGTTCACTGCCTCAAAACAAAACAATGGGGCATTCCATCAAGAGATTGTGCAGCAGTAATCCCGTCACATCCTCCACAAACTACAGTGTAGTGTGGTCACACAGAGCAATAGTGGCAGCAAAATCATGGAAAAACAGAACCCCTGAATCATGTAAACATGTGTACATGGCAACACACAGAATCATGGGAACATGGGTACATGGGAACACACAGAATCATGGGAACATGGGTACATGGTAACACACAGAATCACGGGAACATGGGTACATGGGAACACACAGAATCATGGTAACATGGAATTATGGAAACATGAGAACATAGAATCATGAAAAAAATTAAAGAAAAACAATATAGAAATGCAGGAACATGGAATCAGAGGAACATAGGAACACAGCAACAGCAATCATGGATATATGGAAACACAGAATAACAGGAACATAGAATCATGGAAACACCAGACCATGGAAACATGGAAATATCAAAACATTGGAATGTGGAAACATGCAAACATGGAAACACAAGGCCAGAGAAACATGACTACATATGCAGGAAGCATGTTCAGCTACAGTTCCTGATTTATCACATGGAGTGTCTGGAGCTGCAGATGGACTCATTCTGGAGCATCTATGAGGCTGAGAATGTTGTGGATAGCACATTGCGTGAGCTGGTCACCGCACCAGTAAGGACTACATAGACAGAGAAGAGTTGGGTGATCACCAGGAAGATGTGTATGCATGGACAGGCCCCTGTGGCCATTCCTCTCTCAAACAATTTTACCATTTTTGATACCATTGGGGGAATGGTCACTCAGGGGGAAGCAGCCGTAGACAGATCATTGGGACCACAACTGGCTCTGTTGTACAGCAGGGAGGGTTAAAGTGCAGGTAAGCAGTCACGATAGGGTACTCTATAGTCAGGGACACAGATTGGCATTTCTGTGGCCTTGAGCAAGATTCCAGGATGGTGTGTTGCCTCCCTGATGCAGGGGTCAAGGATGTCTCTGAGCAGGCACAAAGCATTCTGTTTGGGTTATGGTCCATATTGGTACCGATGACATAGGTAGAAAGAGAGATGAGGTCCTGCAAAGGGAGTCGATGAGTTCCACTGCACAGAAACAGACTCTTCAGTCCAACTCGTCTGTGCCGAACAGGTATTCCAATCTGACATTGTCCCATTTGCCAGCATTTGTCCCGTATCCCTCTAAATCATTTCTATTCACCCATCCGGGTGCGTTTTAAATGTTGTAATTGTACCCACCTCCATCATTTCCTCTGGCAGCTCATTCCATACATGCACCACCCGCTAAGTGAAAAAGTTACCCCTCAGATCCTTTGTAAATCTTTCCCCTCTCACCTTTAACCTATGCCCTCTAGTTTTGGACTCCGCTACCCAGGGGAAAATACCTTGTCTATTTACCCTATCCATGCCCCTCATAATTTTATAAACCTCAATAAGGTCACCCCTCAGTCTCCAATGCTCAGGGAAAATAGCCCCAGCCTATTCAGCCTCTCCCTTCAGCTCAGACCCTCCAACCGTGGCAACATCCTTGTAAATCTTTTCTGCACCCTCTCATGTGGAACAGCATCCTTCCTACAGAACATCGATCAGAATTGCACACGGTATTCTAAAAGTGGTCTCACCAATGTCCAGTACAGCTGCAACATGACCTCCCAACTCCTATATTCAATGTTCTGACCAATATAGGCAACCGTACCAAATGCCTTCTTCACCACCCTGTCAACCTGCAACTTCACTTTTAAGGAATTATGGACTTGCACCCTTAGGTCTCTTTGTTTGGCAACATTTGCCAAGACCTTACCATTAACTGTACAAATCCTGCCCTTGTTTGCCTTTCCAAAATGCAACACCTCACAATTATCTAAATTAAACGCCATCTGCCACTCCTTGGCCCGTCAGTAACCTGGGATAGATCACATCGGACCTGGGGACTTGACCACCTTAATGCCTTTTAGAATACCCAACACTGTCCCCCTCCTTATGCTGGGGCCTTAACACATATCTTTGCAGCATCCTTGAGCACGGGTGAGGTCCCGGAGGACTGGAAAAGTGCTTGTTTAAGAAGGGTAGCAAGGATAATCCAGGCAATTATAGACCGGTGAGCCTGACGTCAGTGGTGGGGAAGCTGCTGGAGAAGATACTGAGGGATAGGATCTACTTACATTTGGAAGAAAATGGGCTTATTAGCGATAGGCAGCATGGTTTTGTGCAGGGAAGGTCATGTCTTACCAACTTGATAGAATTCTTTGAGGAAGTGACAAAGTTGATAGATGACGGAAGGGCTGTGGATGTCATATACATGGACTTCAGTAAGGCGTTTCATAAGGTTCCCCATGGTAGGCTGATGGAGAAAGTGAAGTCGCAAGGGGTCCAGGGTGTACTAGCTAGATGGATAGAGAACTGGCTGGGCAACAGGAGACAGAGAGTTGTAGTGGAAGGGAGTTTCTCAAAATGGAGAACTGTGACCAGTGGTGTTCCACAGGGATCCGTGTTGGGACCACTGTTGTTTGTGATATACATAAATGATCTGGAGGAAGGTATAGATGGTCTGATTAGCAAGATTGCAGATGACACTAAGCTTGGTGGAGTAGCAGATAGTGAAGGGGACTGTTGAAGAATGCAGCAGAATATAGATAGATTGGAGAGTTGGGCGGAGAAATGGCAGATGGAGTTCAACCCAGGCAAATGCAAGGTGATGCATTTTGGAAGATCCAATTCAAGAGCGAACTATGTGGTAAATGGAAAAGCCCTGGGGAAAATTGATGCACAGAGAGATCTGGGTGTTCAGGTCCATTGTACCCTGAAGGTGGCAACGCAGGTGGATAGCGTGGTCAAGAAGGCATACGGCACGCTTTCATTCATCATACGGGGTATTGAGTACAAGAGTTGGCGGTCATGTTACAGTTGTATAGGACTTTGGTTCGACCACATTTGGAATTCTGCGTACAGTTCTGGTCGCCACATTACCAAAAGGATGTGGATGCTTTGGAGAAGGTGCAGAGGAGGTTCACCAGGATGTTGCCTGGTATGGAGGGCGCTAACTATGAAGAGAGGTTGAGCAGATTAGGATTATTTACATGAGAAAGACGGAGGTTGAGGGGGGACATGATTGAGGTCTACAAAATCATGAGCGGTATAGACAGGGTGGATAGCAAGAAGCTTTTTCCCAGAGTGGGGGACTCAATTACTAGGGGTCATGATTTCAAGGTGAGAGGGGAAAAGTTTAAGGGAGATATGCGTGGAAAGTTATTTACGCAGAGGGTGGTGGGTGCCTGGAACGCGTTGCCAGCGGAGGTGGTAGAGGCGGGCACGATAGAGTCACTTAAGATGTATTTAGACAGATACATGAATGGGCAGGGAGCAGAGGGATACAGATCCTTGGAAAATAGGCGACAGGTTTAGATAGAGGATCTGGATCGGCGCAGGCTTGGAGGGCCAAAGGGCCTGTTCCTGCGCTGTAATTTTCTTTGTTCTCTTTGTTCTCAGCGACCAGAATTATATACACAGAACATAGAACATAGAACAGTACAGCACAGTACAGGCCCTTCGGCCGACAATGTTGTGCCGAACTTTTACCCTAAACCTAAGGTCTATCTAACCTCCACCGCTACCTTATATTATCATCCATATGCCTATCTAATAGCCGCTTAAATGACCTTGTATGCCCATACTTTGTATGGCCTACCATGAGGGACCTTATCAAAGGCTTTGCTAAAGTCCATATAGGCAATATCCATCACCCTGCCCTCATTATTCATCTATGTCATTTCCTCAAGAATTCAATCAAGTTTGTGAGACACGACCTTTACCCACAAAGCCATATCTATTGCTAATAAGTTCATATTTTTCCAAATGTGAGTAAATCCTATCCCTAAGAATCTTCTCCAATACTGTCCTTACCATTGATGTAACTATATATGGACTTTAGCAAGGCCTTTGATTAGGTCCAGCATAGCATGCTGCACAATGTGTACAATTCTGGTTGCCACATGCCCAGAAGGATGTAGAGGCTTTGGAGATGGTACAGAAACTCTCTAAAAACCAAAAGAACTGTGGATACTGGAAATCAGAAACAAAAACAGAAATTGCTGGGGAAAGGCTCAGCAGATCTGGCAGCATCCGTATAGAGAGAAATCAAAGTTAACGTTTTGGGTTCAGTTTTTCTTCCTCAGAACCTGAATTCTGTTCTGAGGGTGTTCTGAAGAAGGGCACTGAACTCTTAAGCCTTTCCAGCAATTTCTCTTTTTATTGTCAAAAAGGTTTACCAGGATGATGTCTGGTTTGGAGGATATTAGCTATGAGGAGAGATTGGACAAACTTGGTTTGTTTTGACTTGAATGTTAGAGGCTGAGGGGCAGACTGTTAGGGTGTTTACAAAATTATGACAGCAATGGATAGAATGAATAGTCAATGTCTTTTTCCCAGGGTAGAAATGTCAATTACTACGGGACATTAGTTTAAGGTAAAAGGGGGTAATATTAAAGGAGACGGGAGAGGTAGGTTTTTTGCACAGAGGGTGGTAAGTGCCTGGAATGCAGTGGTGGAGGCTGATACAATAGCAACATTTAAGAGGCACCTTGACAGATACAGGAATAAACAGGAAATAGAGGGATACAGTCTGCATAGAGGCAAAAGGGTTTTTATGTTGGTGCAGCGTTAATGGGCCAAAGGGTCTGCTTCTGTGCTATACTTAGATTTTATGGGAACATGGAAACACAGGGACAAGGAATAATGAAACATAGAAATACGCAAATATGGGGAATATGGAATTGTAGAAACATGGACTCAATGAATTGTAGGAAACAATGAAGCTCAGGCTCTTGGGGAGCTTGTGCACAAATCCCTGAAGGTGGTAGGGCAGGTTAATAGGGGAGTTAGGGAGGGATATGGGACATTTGTCTTTCTGAGACGTGGTGTGGATTATAAGAGCAGGGAGGTTATGTTGGAGCTGTACAGCACTTTGGTGAGGCCACAGCTGGAGCACTGTGTGCAGTTCTGGGCCCCACACTATAGGAAGGATGTGATTACACTGGAGGGGGTGCAGAGGAGATTCACCAGGATGTTGCCTGCGATAGAGCATTTCAGCGATAAAGAGAGGCTGGATAAGCTCGGGCTGTTTTCTTTGGAGCAGGGAAGGCTGAGGGGGCCTAGTAAAGGTGTTTAAGATGAGGGGCTTGGACAGGGTTGATAGAAAGCAGCTGTTCCCCTTAGTTGAAGGGTCAATAACAAAGGAGAATAATTTTAAAGCGAAAGGCAGGAGGTTTAGAGGGAATTTGGGGAAAAGGTTTTCTCACCCAGAGGATGGTGGGGGTGTGGAATGCACTGCCTGGGAGGGTAGTTGAGTTGGGAAACATTGTTATCTTTATTTATAGACCTGATGGGCTGAAGGGACTGTTTGTACTGTACGATTCTGTGGAACCGTGACAACACAGAATGGTGGAAGCCTAGAAACATGAATGACTGTCAATGTTGAACTGTACAGAGTGTGTGTGAGTAGGAGGAGTTTATCAGAGTGTAAACCTGCACACAATGACCGAGTCAGTATTTACCTGTCAATGCAACGAGGCCAGACAAGCACAAGCGGTCTGCAAATGCTATCAGTTCCATGGCATCCACCTGGTGATTCAACCCCAGCTGCCCAGTGTACAGGAAATCCAGAACAGATCGCAGGCAACTGCTGCTGCAATCAGGCATCGGGACCTGACAGAGTGGATAAGTAATCATCATTATCCCTTCAAACAAACAAACTGTGCCCCATAACAAACAGCAGTACCAGTAATACACCATGACACAGTCACACTTCCTTCACACAGTCATCTATTCCCAGCTCAGGTACAGCTGGTGTTAGACACATATCCCCACACAAGCCACTCACCATCCTGACTTGGAAATATATCGCCGTTCCTTCTCTGTCGCTGGGTCCAAATCCCTGAATTCCCACCCTCAGGGCACTGTGGGTCTACCTGCAGACCATGTGCTGTGGGTTGACCCACAATGCCCTTAGGGAGGAAATTCCAGGATTTTGACCCAGTGACAGTGAAGGAACGGGGATATATTTCCCAGTTAGGATAGTGAGTGATTTGGAGGGGAAATTGGAGGGGGTGGAGTTCCCATGTATCTGCTGCCCTTGTCCTTCTAGATGGAAGTGGTCGTGGATTTGGAAGGTGCTGTCTGAGGATCTTTGGTGAATTTCTGCAGTGCATCTTGTAGACAGTACACACTGCTGCTACTGAGCGTCGGTGGTGGAGGGAGTAAATGTTTATGGATGTTGTTCCAATCAAGCGGGCTGTTTTGTCCTGGATTTTTTTTTCTCTTTATTCATTAACGGGATGAGGGCGTCGCTGGCTAGGCAGCATTTATTGCCCATCCCTAATTGCCCAGAGGGCAGTTCAGAGTCAACCACATTGCTGTGGGCCTGGAGTCACAGGTAGGCCAGACCAGGTAAGGATGGCAGTTTCCTTCCCTAAAGGTCATTAGTGAACCAGATGGGTTTTTGTGACAATCGATTCATGGTCATCATAGATTCTTTTTTCCAGATATTTTATTTGTTATCTGGGTCTCTGGATTAACACTCCAGCAACAATACGACTAGGCCATCACCTCCCTCTTGGTGTCAAGCTTCTTGAGCATTTTGCAGCTGCATGTATCCAGGCAAGTGGGGAGTATTCCATCACACTCCTGAATTGTACCTTGTAGATGGTGGACAGGATGTGGGGAGTCAGGAGGTGAGTTACACTCAGTAAATGAGGTACTGATCACTATAGCTAAAATGTGTCTGACCAGATCCATAAAGGAAAGGGAATTCTTGCACCATGAGGTCAACAAGGGGTAAAGTCACTGTGTGGAAGATTTCAATGGACTGAGGTGCAGGATGAGTGAGTTTAGTGTAGGAAATTTAGTTCACAGTGGGATGGAATGGGTTTCAGTTTGTGGGTTACTGGCAGCACAACTTAACTCTACTCTCCATTTGAAGAGATAAAATCAGGGATAGTCAGTGTGGCTTTGTCACAGGGAGGTCATGCCTAACAAACCTGTTGGAATTTTTTGAGGAGGTGACCAGGTGTGTAGATGAGGGTAGGGCAGTTGATGTAGTTTATATGGATTTCACAAAGGCCTTTGACAAAGTTCCACTTGGGAAACTGATAAAGACGGTGAAAGCACACGGGATCCAGGGTAACTTGGCAAAACAGATCCAAAATAGACTCAGAGACAGGTGATAGAGGGTAGTGACAGAA